GAGCACAGGATGCTCTCCACTGCACACCTGTAGAAGGAGGTGAGGACTGAGCTTCCAGACCAGCTCGTCTCAGCCGCCTGAGGAAGTAGAGTCTCTGATGAGCTTTCTTCATCAGGCTGGTGGTGTTGTTGCTCCAGCTGAGGTTGTTGTTCAGGTGCACACCCAAGTACTTGTAGCTGGAGACCACTTCCACTGCAGAATGCTTTTAAAAAAAAATTGATGCATTTTACTGATTCATGTAGACATCACAGTTTTATTTTTCTGTTTAACGACATTGAGGAAAGAGATCTTGTATAAAATAACTTTATGCAGGATCTCATGCAGTACCACAAGATGTGAGTATGTGTTAGGGATGACTCTCAGCTACTACCACACCAAGTATTACCTCTAGTCATATGAGGTCTACTGTGGCAGACAGACACACAGTAAAGCATTAATGCCAGTTTTTCAGTGACTCGTAATAATCTAAAACCAAAAGGTGACTTTGAGGTTAAAACTTGAATGGGTTTTAATGGTCTGACCCCCCAGATATTACGGAGCCTTCGTCACATCCTCCATCATCATCATCATCCTCCCCCCTCAATGGGTCTTCAGATTTCGGTCACCATGGTAAAGGTGCCAGTTCGGCAGAGGACTCAGACTCTGGTGCCCAGGGGATCCACCTCCTGTTGAGACCCCCTGACCTCCTGTCTCCTAGTCTACCACCACCCCTTCCCCCATTTAGCCAGCCCACCCTCACTCCTCCTCCTCCCTGGGAGCAGGGAACCTCCCTGGAGGAGGCCTGGGGCTCCGGAGACTACCTGGAGACGCTGTCCTTTATGGTGCCGGATGGCGAGGAGCTGTCCCTTGCCACGCCACTGCCCAGCCACCCCTGGGACGATAACTTTGAGCAGGACTGGATCTCCTATGATACAGACTTCCCTGTCCGCCCAACTGTCCCCCTCTCCTCCCTTCTCCCTGTCTCCCCCTCCTCCTCCACCCCTAACATACCTCTGCACATAGACTTGGCCCCTCCAGAAGGGTTTCCCTCCTGGGGTGAGGACTACGATCCAGAGGACATGATGCCTTTGGAACCGACAGAGGTGCTGCTGCCAGACATGAACAGTCTGGAATACTACACCAACCTGCTAGCCCGGGAACGAGAGCGGGAACGAGAGCGGAAACGAGAGCGGGAACGAGAACAGGAACGAAAACGGGAACAAGAACAGGAACGGGAGCTGGAACGAGAACGGGAACAAGAACGGGAACGAGAACAGGAACGAGAGCAGGAACGAGAACGGGAACAAGAACAGGAACGAGAGCGGGAGCTGGAACGAGAACGGGAACAAGAACGGGAACGAGAACGGGAACGAGAACGGGAACAAGAACGGGAACAGGAACGAGAACGGGAACGAGAACAGGAAAAGAAGAAAAAGGATGAGCGGGATCAAGTGAACCTAACCGACGCTAGACCATCCATTAGTACTATAGCCACACAAACCCGCCATCCACCTCTGACCCCAACACCAACACCCAGTCCTCCACCTCATCTGGAGCCCAAACAACCCCCACCAGGACCCACCCCTCCTCTCACACCCTCACTTACCCTCTCAGGTGAGAAAAAGCCACCTGCTCCATCACCCACCCTCAGAACCCCTTCCACCTTTGCTCCAACTGCTCCAAAATCAAAAGATCGTAGCCCAGTCCCCAGCAGACACCCTCTTCATCCAGCATCCAACACCACCAGCCGGGCACCGTTCCCTCCACCGCTGAGACCATCCACCCACCCCGACAAACCCGAGAGGCCTTTGGTTGTCATTGAGAAGCCAACAAAAGCTCTGCCCACAACGACCACTACCCAGATGATTTCCATCAGCCTGACAAGAGCCACCCCAGTCACCACGCCAAGAAGAACCCAGACTCCGCCCATCAGACAGTACCTGTGCAACGTCACCAAGCCAGAGCTGTACCTGGTCAGAGTGGGTAAGAGTCGTCCACTGGACATGTGACAAGAAGTTGAAGTCTTTGGTCCAGTCAGCTGATGTGTTTGTCTTTGTGTGTATGCAGTCAGTTCTAAAGGTTCATCAGGTGGTTTCAGCCAGGTCCGAGACCTTTTGAGGAGGGACTTCAACCGCTCTGTGGAGCTGCAGGTAAACTTGTGACTTTTTCTCTGTCTCTGTCATGTCATGCTTTTTTCAGTTTTATCTTTCTGCTCTGTGCCCATTCTTCGTCTTCTTCTTCTTTTTCATTTTCTCTTCTGCCCTTTCTCCGAATACTTCAACAAACAGTTAATCAGCGTTCACAATTTAATTTTACGGGAGCAGATCTTCTCAGAATTTCTAATCTTCTCTTATCTTCTCATAGCCATCTTGATTCTGCTCAAGCTAAAATTCTGGTGTTGGATATTCTCACTTGTCCAACCTGATGATTGACAGCTGTATCCTCCACAGTTCCTCAGAACTCCATCCAGTTTTGCCTTCCGTGTTGTGTCGGGACCGTTGATCTTCACCGCCATATCAGTCATCAACGCTCTTCGGCAGGCACCACGAGGCTCAGGTCCAGTTCCCATTGTGTCACCTCTGTACACTGTACCAGACCACCGGTACCAGGTCCACTCCGTGCTGCAGTTTGTCCCCGCCCATGCTGACATAAGAGTATGCAACTTCACTGACCGTGTGGAGAAAGGGCTCATGATGGCGTACAGGGAGGCGCGGAGAAGATCACACGAGACAGGGAATATCACTGTACAGGTGAGTAAACTTGGTCATTGAGGTTTGGTTCTTGCTGCGTTTTGATAAAAAAAAAGTATTTGACTTTCTCTTCAGCTGCTGAACGTCACACTGAGCCCGGCTCGGCCCATAGCAGGGCAGAATGTTCCTGTGGACATCACATTTGCAGTGCGAGATGGGCGGGGCTATTTGCCAGGATCTGAGGTCAGCGAACACCTGAGGAAGCTCAGCCTGGTGGAGTTCAGCTTCTACGTTGGTTTTCCTGCGCTGCAGATTGCAGAACGTACGACAGTAACCCATCAAACCTGCATTAACACGTGATGGCTGGAGGCCTAATAGGTTCATCTGGTTGAACAGGTGCCCCCTGTTGGCTGGTGGTTGTCTTCTTAGCACAGTCTCAAATCCCTCATATCTTTATACTTTTAATATTCTCTGTGACACTTGGTTTGGATGGTGATTTACTGGATATGTATTGAAGAACATGTGGTAAAAAAAATAGATTAGTAATAAATGTGTATTTCACAGCATTTCATTATCCTGAGCTGAACACGTCTCACCACCTGAAATCCACCTGGGTCCGCACAGGTAAAAACACCTTTCTGTGTGACTTTCTCTGTAGAAAGATGTTAGCTGTTAGCTGTTAGCTGTTAGCGTGGATGTCTCACCCTCCTCAGACTGTTCACAGTGTGAACTGTCTATTACTTGTTAGCATGGATGTCTCACCCTTGGGGTAGAAGTAGGGCAGCCGACTTAGGAACCAAAAGGCCCAGATTTGATCCCCAGTCATTCCCACATATCGAAGTGTCTCTGAGCAAGACACCTAATCCCTAATTGCTCCCTGGGCACTTACATAACTGCCCACTGCTCCACCTGGGTGTATCTCAGGTGGGATGGGTTAAATGCAGAGAACTAATATTGCCATTGTATGGGAACATACAATGATGGCAACACATAGCACTTTACTTTACTTTATTATGGACTGTCCATTATCTGGTGAATGGACTGTACTTATATTGATTGATTGATTGATTGATTGATTGATTTTATTGTCAATTCTGCATATGTACAGGACATACATAGAAATTGAAATTGCGTTACACTCCTACTCAAGTTGCAGCAAACAACAACATTAGCAAAAATAAACTAACACAACTAGTTATATAAAAAATATAAAAGTAAAAGTGAACAGCAGCAGGACCTCTGATGCAACGTGCTCAATAGTGACTAACAGGAGACATATATAGCACCTTTCTATCTTATCAAGATATGCAAAGCACTTTACAACACTCTGTGCTTCATTTACCCATTCATACAACATTCTACTAGATCTCTACAAAGCTAATTGAACAAATCATTCTAAAGGGACAAATCAGAGCTTTATCACATTCATACACCAAAGGGACACACATCGGAGACAGAGAGGGGTTCAGTGTCTTGCCCAGGGACACTTCAGCATGTGACTGCTAGTGGATTCGAACCCTCAACCTTTGCATTGGAGGAAGACTGCTCTAACCATTCAGCCACAGCTGCCCCGCCACTGTTAGCATGGATGTCTCACCCTCCTGTGAACTGTCTGTTACCTGTTAACATGGATGTCTCACCTTCCTTTGACCTGTCCTCTGATTGTTTTAGTCCTGCTGGGGGTTCAGGAGCTTCAGGTGGCTGAGAGAAGTTTTAAAGCACGACTGGAGAGGCGTCTGGCTCTGCTGCTGGAGGAAGGACTGCAGGAGACCAGCAGGAGGCGCTGGAGGAGGGCAACTGCAGTGGGCAACAACAATCTTCAGGTAAACTAATGCAATCTGGACTTCTCTCCCTGACTGGTGTGGCATCTTTTTTACCGTGTGCAGTCATAGAGGATGTGGACTGACTGAGTCTAACAGTAACCCCTTGGTCTTTAAATCAAACAGTGAATGTGACACATCGTCCACTTGTTGTGCCTCAGGTGGTGCGGGTTTCCAGGCTGTCTGGATTTGAGCGCCCCCTGGAAGTGTTTTACTTTGTTGAGGGTCCAGGTGGAGTGAGGGTCCCAGCTGAGGTCACCGCTACCACCATGAACCGTCTTGATCTTCAGAGGGCCGCCATTGTTCTTGGACACAGAGTCCAGAGACCACTGGCCCAACGTGAGTCAAGAACCTCATCTGTCCATAATATTTGTTACTTTAATGGTTTAGATCTGATGCTCACTTGTTCCTCACCTGTTCCTTACCTGTGTCCAGCTGTGGAGACTCTGACCATCCCTCCAGCAGAGACTCAGAGCAGCAGTATCTGGCTGATCGTCGGTGTGGTTGTTCCCGTCCTGCTGGCCGTCTTCATCATTATCATCCTCTACTGGAAGCTGTGTGGCTCTGAGAAGCTGGAGTTCCAGCCAGATGCCATCAGCACCATTCAGCAGAGGCAGAAGGTAAGGCATGGTGTGCTCATCTTTCACCTGTCCTGTCTGTAAAGCAAGTCCACAGCTGAAGCTCAGATCTTCTGCAGCTCCAGGCTCCGAGCGTCAAAGGCTTTGACTTTGCAAAGCTTCATCTTGGGCAGCACAGTAAAGACGACATCATGGTGATCCAGGAGCCCGGTCCGCTGCCCGCCCCCATGAAAGAAGCCACACCTTCTGATGGCGGGGACCTCAACACACCCAAATCCAAAGGATCGTCCACCAAGGTGGCACGTTCAAGCCGCCGCAGAGAAAGGTCAGACAGATTTAATACAACCTGTTTGATTTGGTTCTGTTTGAATTAAACTTTTTATGTTTGTATTCTGATCATTCTTTGTCAGATGGACATGTAGAAACAAAATGATCACCAAACTGCTGTTCTTCCCTTTTTAGGCTCAGCCCGTCGGATGGCGACTCGTTAGGAAGCGACCAATCAAGCGGCAGGGAGTCGGCAGAGGAAAGCACAAGGCCTGTGGCCACGCCCAGCGAGGGCAAACAACACAGGAAGATGCCCAAAAATGGTCAGAGAATCTGTGATGTCGTCATGTGGACTTAGATGAGTGAGGAAGGCAAAGATGTTGTTGTGTTTGACCAGTCTTTATTTCTTTTTTCTGTTTGTTGCGTTTTGTGACTGTAGGGAGGAGCAAAATGGGTATGTCTACACCAAAACACCACAGATCCACTCCAGCCAGTTTTCTGTCAATGAGTTTAAAAAAATCAACCAAATTCAGTTTTTAGAAAGTCCCAGTTGACAGGATCTGGTCTCAGTTATGTTTCAAAATACAGAAAGTCACTTCAAGCTGCATTCTGTGGCCATAGGTTTTAGGTGAAGTGCATGCTGGGACTTGTAGTTGAGTCCTTCAGTTCTTAGTATTTGGTAAATCAGATGTTCTGATCTTTGACTCCTTCCTGCAGGAGCGCCTTCAGGCAGTGGACCAGATGAGCTCCTGTCCTCATCCTCTATCTTTGACCATGTTGATCGTCTGTCCCGTGGCTCGTCTGACGGCACCCGGCGCCAGGCCAACAAGGTACAGCTGATCGCCATGCAGCCACGATCAAGCCCGCCACCAACGCAGCCCCCCCCACAGCTCAGCCCTTCCCTCACTGAGAAGGTCAACACTGAGGTGAGCTGCCAACAATAATGCCTTTTTCCTCATCATTTGTTGGATCATAACAGAACCTGTTGGCTCTGATTCAGCAGGTGGCGCTGAGGCACAAGTCAGAGATTGAGCATCACCGGAACAAACTGCGACAGCGCGCTAAGAGGCGGGGTCAGTGCGAGTTTCCCTCCATGGATGACATCATGGACGCATTCGGAGACGGGCCGGTTCAGAGTGAGGTGGCGCAGCGACTTTATAGCTCCGCCCATGACCACATGGACTGCATCCTTCAGGCCGACACTGCCTCACCCCCCACCCCCACTGACTCCAGAAAAAGGTCAGACTTTGGCAGAATCTTTGGACCCTCTGAGACATTGTACTCCTGACCTTCTGATGGGTCTGTTCAAGTCACAAAAAGAACTCTTGAGTTTCTGCTATGCTTTAGGGTAGAAGTTGATGGAAGTAGGAATTGATACACTTTCACATTTCTGCAGAATATTTTGTTTTAACTTTTGAATCCAGGATGTTTTCAGAGGAATCAAACTTTTTTTTTTTAAGCCTGTCTTTTTCCTTGCAGAGGAAGACGCTCTCCACGATCTCGGAGGGCTCAACAGGGACCAGGAAGTCTCCCTGATACCGACAGAGACCGGCTGCTCATCGATCAGGGTGCAACCTACAGGAAATTCCCAGGACTCAACAATGTGGCCTACATGGTAATAATCCGGTCAGGGTTTCTGTTTTGTCTATCAAATTAAGATGCCACCCCGGCTGAACTGATGCAGGAGAACAGTGGAGAACAGTAGAAGGAGGTTTAGCTGTGGACAGATGATGATCTCAGAGAAACCTAAACACCTTAAAACCAGAGAAAAGGATTCTAGATTTCAGAAAATGCAACCAGTTGGAAGTTGCCAACTTTAGGTTCTTGTTGGATGTGTCCTAGTCCAAAAAGTCTTTCAATTCAGGCATGACCACCCACCAAGTTTATCGTTGCACTGCAGTGGTCCAGGACTACTCAAACGTGGTCCTAGAAAGGAAAACCGAAGGACCAGAACCAGAGTCATGGGTACCCCAGACTGGACCGTATTGTTCTAAACCAGTTGGAGTTTTAATGATACGATATGAATTGGTGATATGTGACTTATCTGTGCTGCTGATTATCCATGCTGCTGATCTCATGCTGCTGAAAACAATGGATCTGCCGTACGACTGGATGTTTCTTTGATCCATAAAACCTACTTAAATATGGCAATGTTGTGGTCTGTGTAGGGTTGGACCCAGATGCAGACATGGGAGCTCAAGTAAAATTAAAACTTTAAAAAAAAATTAAATGAAACAAAAAGCTGACATGTGACAAAAAATTTACAACTGAGAACATGAGGAGGATGAAGGCATAAGGATGAGTCCAATACGAGCTGCCAGTGAAGTGAGGACAAGAGACTGGCTTTAAAGCAAACTGAGGGAGAGAGGAAAATGAAAACACCTGAAACTGATTGCTGATAGCTGGCAGGTGAGAGTGGCAGGCAGGACTGTAAAAACACAGAGCCGACTGAGGGCAGAATGGACCTGATAACTGGAAACATTGAAACGAGGATTGATCTACATACAGAAACACAAATGGATGAGTCTAAACAAAACAGGAGAAAACATAAGAAACAGAAACTCACAAAGAACCTAGATAATCAGGAAAATAACCAATTAAAATAAACTCATAGAACTACTGAACAAAACATCCAGATATGACCGGCACCAGTGTTCCCTGAAGGCCTACATCAGCAGGACGATGCTCCCTGCCCTTCTGCTTCAAGAACAGGGTCTACATTTGGTCTACATTAGATTTAACAACAACCAGTTTGTCAAATTCTCTAGAACTCAGTCCAATCAAACTTTTGTGAGATGTTCTGCACCAACAAGTCAGTTCTATGGAGATCCCAACTCAAAACTTCCAGGACCTAAAGTAGCTCCCATTGAAATGTCAAAGACAGATAGAGCAGACCTTCAGTGATCACAGTAGACCTTTGGAGTTCCACAGTAGAACTTTAGAGGTCTACAGGAGTTCACGAGGAGATGGGTCAGAGCTTATTTGTTTTAGGCTGATGGTCTGGAGGTATAGGTAGTTGGTGTTCATGTCTAATCCCACATACCTCAGTGGTCCAGAGAACTGGTCTGAGACCGTCTTGATGGTAGATATAATAACTTTTGACCTGCGTTCTGAGTCAGACACCATTAAAAAGTTCAGTTTGGAGATCAATGTTTAAACAGTCCTCAAATAGTCCTCAGTCGGAAAAGCATTGATTACTCTCTTTGGGTCAAGGGTGCGGTTCTACCTCAAGTGGAGGAGTTCAAGTATCTTGGGGTTGTGAATGGAACGTGAGATCGACAGATGGATTGGTGCAGCCTCTGCAGTATTGTGGACTCTATGTCGGTCTGTTGTGGTGAAAAAGCTGCTGATCAGTCAGTCTATGTTCCTACCCTCACCTATGGCACAAACTCTGGGTAGTGACCTATAGAATGAGATCGGAGATCCAGGAGGTTGAAATGTGTTTCCTCTGCAGGGTAGCTGGACTCTCCCTTAGAGATAGGGTGAGAAGTTCAGTTATCAGGAGAGACTCAGAGTAGAACCGCTGCTCCTCCACATCAAGAGGAGACAGTTGAGGTGGTTCAGTCATTTGGTAAGGATGATCCCTGGGCACCACCCTATGGAGGTACTTAGGGCATATCTGACTGGGAGGAGACCCCGGGAAAGACCCAGGACATGCTGGAGAGACTGTGTCTCTCAGTTGTCCTGGGAACACCTTGGGATCCTCCCAGAAGAGCTGGAAGAGGTGGCTGTGGAGAGAGATGTCTGGACCTATCTGCTCTACCTGATGCTCTCAGGAACAAACTTTGGAACAAGTGGAAGATGATGGGTGGATGGATGGATGTTTAAACATCTTTTCTATATTCTGTCTCTTCTCTTACAGTCGGACCCTGATCTGCCCCCAGACCACGGCAGTCCGTCCCCAACCGATGAGGTCTTTGACCTGGCACAGCCCCCACCCCCATACATGCCCCCACAACCCTCTATTGAGGAGGCCCGTCAACAGATGCACTCCTTGCTGGATGACGCCTTCGCTTTGGTTTCACCGTCCTCACAGGCCAGTGGCTGTGTCAGCGGGGTAAGATTTCACCTTCTCAATGTCGAACTTCAGAGTGGCAGTGGGTCTCTAACCCCGTAGCCCCCTCCCGTGTCCTTTAGTGTATTTTCTGCAGTTGAGACCAAGATCTTCAACTCTTAATCTAGGCTGATGTTTTATGTTCTTCTGTTTAAATCCTGCAGAGATACACAGAGCTTGGAGTCTCGCCCACATCCATTCAGGGTCTGCTGCAGAGGTCAGTGTGCTAAAACCAGGTGCAGGTCTGGAACCTGGAACTGAGTCAGAACTGATCTTGTGTCTTTTCACAGGCAGGGCTTGGGCTCAGGAGGATATGTTTCTACTGGAGATCAACTGCAGGAATCTGTTTACTCCAACAAAGGGAAGTATGAGGACCCTCCCTCCTCCTCCAGACCACGACCCGTTGGTGGCAGTACAGGTACAGCCCTCCAGACAGACCCACGCAATCACTTTTTAAAACACTTACTGATCTTTTAAAATCACCACATGCACAATGTCACCTGTCAACATTTGTTTTCTGACCGTGTGGCTTTCTAGGTGCACAGCTTCACCACCTGACTCAGGTGGGTTTATCCAGTCAAATTGGGGCATACCCCGGTGTGGGTCGCAGCATGTCTGGGCCCACGGGTTCCAGCTGGCACCAGCAACACTCGGACCAGGACCTGTCCCGACCAGGAGGCAGCAGAGAGAGTGTAAGTCATAAAGTACTTCAGGACTAATGCCAGATTTGGTTCTTGGCAGGTCTGACTCACCCAAACCTGATCTGGTTGAGTAAAACTTTTCTCTCTTTTGTTCATAGGTGCTGTCTTTCCCCGAGTTCTCCTCTTCCTCCGTTTTCCAGATGCCTAGCTCCTCCTTGCGGGACCCGTCAGCTCCACCCTTCCTCCTGACCTCACCCACCCCTGAATACCTGCCGGAGGATGCCTCCCCCTCTGCCCACACCTCTGCCTCTCTTATAAAGGCAATCAGGGAGGAGCTGCGCCGTCTGGCCCAAAAACAGGCCGCGGTTACCAGCTATCCTTAAACCAACCTGGACCTTTCAGGACCAGAACTTCCAGCAGCTGGTTTTCTACTGATCAACATGATCCATATCTGACAACAAGGGCAGTGTCTGGAGGAGACCTCCAGTACTTTACAGGGTCTCGTCTTTCTCTTCGTTTGACCATCGTCTCAGTGTTTCTCTGCACATAAATCATTTCCACTGAAGTGCTTCCTGGAGTCGATCATGAGATGATCATCCTTTCTAAACTTCAACATCGAGTCAACTCATGAACTTTTGGAGGAGCAGGACTTTCTAGGACCTCTAGAGTGAATGGAACATCCTGGAGCTCTGGTTGTGACTGGCTGTTCCACTCATGTGGATTGGTCAATCTTCTTGAGCTTTTGGAAGAAACAGATCTGAAAGTGTATGGTATCTTTTGAAGTTCTAGAACAGATTAGTATTCATTGCGTTCTGGGTTAAGTAGATCTACTGGAGAATATAGAACTTCTTAAGAGCACTGTCCCTTCTGGTCTTGATCCTTTCAAACCTTCTAGAGTGAACATTTGCTCTACAGACGTTGTAATGTACAGATCATGCTCCTGAAGTGGATGGTGCTTTTTAGAGTTCTAGAGCCAATTATCCATTTTAAATTTCTAAAACTACCAAACTGTCTGCAGAGGATCTAAACCTCAAAGTGTACATCACTTCTCACCTTCATCATCCCAGACTTTCTGCATCAAATGTTTGCTTTGGAGTGTTTCTCCTCCTGAAGTGAATTTTGCAGATTATTCTGGAACAAACAGAGATTCTGGGTTCTAAATCATCTAAAGAGCACCACCCCTTTTAAAGTAAATGGTACCTTTTTGGATTCTAGAGCAGACTATTTTGGAACGGACTTCATGGAGTGGATCTCCAACCCCTCGAGTGCACTGTCCTTTCTAAGGAGGATGGTACTTTTTGAAGTTCTCAAGCAGATTTTCATTTATGGAGGTCTGGAACTAAAGGACCATTTGGAGGGGGTCTAGTACCACTAGAGAGTCCACCGCTTCAAGCTTTTGGTTTTTCCAGACCTTCTGAAGCAGATATTTGCACTGCAGTCTTTGGAGTTTATCGTTACATTCCTGAATAGCCTTTCTAAGTTTTAGAGCAGATTGTTCTGGAATAAATTGAGATTAAGACTGAAAAGATTAAATAAAAATAGATCAAATAGATGTGTTTTGAATTAAATAGACCTTCTGGGATCGAGATTCTTATGCCTGAAGTAGATGAAACCTTTTGAATTTCAAGAACAAATTGTGAATTACGAAGGTCTGGAACCAAAAGTCCTTCTGGAGGATGTAGAACCTCTGAAAGGTACCGTCCCTTCTGGCTTTTGTCTTTTCAGACCTTCTGGAGCCGATATTTGCTCTGCAGACGTTAGGGTGTATCATTCCTCCTCGTGAAGTGGATGATGCCTTTAAAAGTTCCTGAAAAGTTCTGAAACAGAAAGTCCTTCTGGAGGGGAACTAGCATGTCTGAAGAGCACGCCTCTTGTAGTTTAGTCTTTCCAGGAGCAGATGTTTGGTGGATAGTCCTTCCTCCTGAAGTTTTAAGGTGGACCATCCTCCTGGGTTCCCTGTGGTGCTAACCTTCAGCCTCATAACATCTCATCTTCAACCACTTACTGCCTTCCATGGTCCCATCAGCCTCGGTGATCAGGTCTGCATCAATCCAACCACCCGCATTGAGGTCTTTGCACTCTTCAACAGCTGGAGGCGCTGCACAGTCCCGACAGCACGAGGAATAAAATAAATGTATAAATAATAAATATATAAGGAAGAATAAAATATATGTAAAGAGATAGAATCCCAACGAGCACAATATAAATGTAAGAGTTACTGAGTATTGAGGTGTGACGTATTTTTGATTGCATATTTAAAAAAGACTTTATTTTAACCCAGAAAAGACCAAACTACTGTTCCGGTGGTGAAACTTGTGTTTGAACTCGCTGTAGATTTTCAGCCGGCGGTTGTTGCTTGGCGTAGCCGCTCGCTCGTGTGTTCGTGTATCGGTGGCAAAGAAAAAGAAACGCAGCTGACGCTTGTTTCGTTGTTTAGTTGCTTCCATTAAAGCTGCAGGTGTGTCAGGTGTGATGTCACAGGTGTGATGTCACAGGTGTGATGTCACAGGTGTGATGTCACAGGTGTGATGTCACAGGTGTGATGTCACAGGTGTGATGCCTTCTGCTTCTTAGGACAGACCTGACGAAAAACTTGGTTTGCACATTTCGGCCTCTTTGCACTCTTTTATTCATGTTCCTTCTTGGTTAAAGGGATAGTTCAGCTCTTTGGAGGTGGGTTCTGTGTAAAGGTTCAGAGTGACTTCATTTTACAGAAATAGAGTTCTGAATTCTGACTGGTCTGACCAAAGTGGACCTCTGCTGTCTGAAGAGGCCAGCAGGTCCTGTTGAATCTCCATCTCCCATCCTGAGCAGCACAATGGACCAGAACCTGGACCGAACCCCAACTTCGTATCTGGTTCTGAGAGAAGGTGGACCTTCCTGTGGCTCCTGGGGTCACGTCCTGCAGGAACATCACCGTGGTGTGGGACTGATGATGGTGAACAGGTTAATAAGGGAACGTCTGAAGGATGACTGGACCTCTTTTCCTGTTTAAAGATGTTTATCTTCATCTTCTGTTTGAGCTTCACCTGGAAACAGATGGTTTGAGGTGTGAAAGAAGCTGAAACGTTGAAGCTGTTTGGATCTCCACTCCTTTCAGTCTGAACTGGATGAGAAGAAAAATAAACTAGGACCACAGAGAATCCAGCCGCACGTGGCACCGTGGCTCATCTAACCACTTTTAAATTAAAACTTTTCTAAATTCATCTGGGAACAGGCTTCCTGTGCGTCACCCCAGCACTTAAAGGCTGGATCAGGTTTCCAAAAGCTACAAGGACAGTTTTACAACATACATTTAAAAAACTGAAGCTCTTTGAATTTTTTATTTTGGTGTGTGTAATGGAGCTAAAATTGATCAAACAGTGTCAGCTTCTTGTTGCTTCATCTGAACCATTTTATTCCAGTTGAGACTAACGGAACGAATAATATTCCTGCAGGAAGGGGGCCAGGCTGCACAGGAAATGCTACAGCTAAAATCACACGGAGTCGATTGTGTGTTCACGCCGACCTTTGAGAATGGATGACAGCCATGGTCCAGCTTGAACCATCCATTAGCTCATATTTCCTGTCAGAAATCAACTTTATTTCTGCAAAATGAGGTCATTCAAAGCGCAGTAACTGATTTTAAATGTCTGGACTTTTATTTTGAAAGAAACCCCTGCTTGTTGAATGTTTGTTGTACTTAAAGCTGCTAGTTTGATTAGTTTAGGATGAATTTAACTGTGGCTGAATCGAAACGTCTGTCCTTCACATGTTGTCTTAGCAGAACGTCTACTCCATCAGGATCATCTCGTACACCTTGTTGCCGTGGTGATCAAGTCCAGTTGTAATGTACCGTTATAAACATCTGGTTTCTACAGAGTGGGTGGTCTGATTTCTGTTTGAGCTGAAGACCTCTGAGTCACGTGTTGGATCTAGAAACAATGTGGTAAACATTTCGATTCAGGGAATTCATCATGATCTGTGACACATTTAGGAGCTTCCGTGGAGGTCTTACACCAAATGAGATCTTTGGTACAGACGTTTTGATTCAGCCGTTAACTTCATGTTCGTCAGTCAGACAGATGGTCCTTTTCAGCTGCTTCTGGCTTTTTGGTGAACATCATCTACTCCCACAAGAGCTCTCATTGGTCCATGCTGTTCTTCAGCAGCTCTCATTGGTCCATGCTGTTCTTCAACAGCTCTCATTGGTCTATGCTCTTCTTTCATTGGTCCATGCTGTTCTTCAGCAGCTCTCACTGGTCCATGCTGTTCTTCAGCAGCTCTCATTGGTCCATGCTCTTCTTCAGCAGCTCTCATTGGTCCATGCTCTTCTTCAGCAGCTCTCATTGGTCCATGCTCTTCTTCAGCAGCTCTCATGGGTCCATGCTCTTCTTCAGCAGCTCTCATTGGTCCATGCTCTTCTTCAGCAGCTCTCATTGGTCTATGCTCTTCTTTCATTGGTCCATGCTGTTCTTCAGCAGCTCTCATTGGTCCATGCTCTTCTTCAGCAGCTCTCATTGGTCCATGCTCTTCTTCAGCAGCTCGCATGTGTCCATGCTGTTCTTCAGCAGCTCTCATGGGTCCATGCTCTTCTTCAGCATGCTCAGTAAGCTTTAGCTGTTCTCGTGTTGCTGTTAATGTTCAGCATGCTGCTAAAAAATATTCAAGTTTAAAAAGTAATGAGTTGCTCTACGTCTGGGTGGAGTTGTTGGCGTCACGGTTCCATGGGATGTTCATCCATCATGAAACTTTGTTTTTATTTTTCGACCTAAAGATATTTTTAAATCTAAAAGAAGATGGTTACAATGTATAAAGTGGAAATGGTGTTAATTAGAAATAAATATATACATCCATATGTATAAAAGTGTTTATCTGTGACTGCTGAACAGACTCCTAGATCTGCTTCTCTGCTGACCAACCACAGACCACCTTTGGACTGTCAGTCAAGCTGTAGGACTTGGCCACGCCCACATGGTGCTGCTTCAAAGACTCCAGGTGGATCTGAGCCTTATCAAACCCCACACACATCGGAGAGAAAAATCTTGCTCTGGTTCTGGTTGAACAGACGAGGATCTTCTCCTGCGTGTTTCCTTCGATGTTTTAGAGTTTCTGTGTTTTTAGACCTTCGCCTGCAGGGCTTCAAACATGACAAAAACTACTGATGTGGGTCAGAATCTCGGCTCTGAACAATCTGCTGCACAAAATAAGCATAACAATATAACCAATAAAAAAATAGATTTCAAACTATCAAGAACCTGAAGAGAACCAAAGTCCAGATGGAACTGGTCCATTGTTTTGTCATGAATGAACTTCCTGCTGGAGTCCAACCATGTTCCTGTTGGTGCTCCTCAGACTGACCTCACAACCAGACCAGGTGAGTCCATCTAGGTCCAGTGAGTCCAACAAAGTTCAGGTGTCAGGGTCTGTAGCTCTGTTTGTGTCCAATCTGTGAGCTGGAACACTGCCAGCAGCCTCACCTGTTCCGCAGCAGCAGCCAGGTGAACCCTCAGCCTTTAAACAGTCTGGTTGGGATGGGATCTAGCAGACATGTGGATGATTT